TTTGTGAATTAATAGTTTTGAAAAAAAAAGTGCAAAAAAGGTAAATAAAGACCGTAGCCAAAAGTAAGGGATTCCCCGGGCCAAACGAAAGCGAAGGCAGTGGGGCTCATAAAAGAAAGAAATGAAAACAGGCAGGGAGGTAAGAGCGGGTAAGACTAGGTTATAGCAACAACAACAGAGGTTAGACATCTCTTACCGGAGTAAGAGGTTTCGGGTCATCCGTCCCCTTGACCCAGACACGAACTAATCTTTCTCTCTCTCGAATGTATGCCCGATTTTCGTCGAATCTTTTTTATTACTTTCGAAAACAAACAAACCGTCTTGACATGATGAATAGTGGTGCCCACCTACAGAGCCTAGTCCTCCCTACAGCCTTTGAAGTAGACTCTTTCTCGAGTGTGATCCTATCCCCAAAGCCTTTTTGCAAAAAGAGTAGGTAGGATGACTAAAAGTTTGTTATAAAAGCGGATGCTCTTTTCCCTAAATATTAAATTAGTCAAGTCTAAATGCACTGCAATCAAACAATCGGAAAGCCTTTTGACAACCTTACTAATAGAAAGGGGAAAGATGCGCTCAATCCGTTGCTTGTTGCTCCAACTTATTAGTAGGAGCTCGTTAGCCCTTTCCGCAGGATGCTATGCTAGTTGTAGCGTGCTAGCGCTTTACTAATAGAATATCAAAGTAAAGGAGACTCTATCCAGATCTAAAGAATTCGCCAAAGAGACTTCTTCTAACTAGGAGAGTCAGCAAGCTACCGGAAGCAAAGCTTCTGATCTGACCCCCCTTTGAATTTCCAATTCCTCCTTTTCGTTCTACTTAGGTGGATCAATCTGAACTGTCGACAGAATATAAAAGAGGTTTTTATTCCTGTGTAGACACCTCAACGAACTCATGTGGACACTCCTCAGCCCGAGGACAATCTCTCAAATATACATTAAGATGTTGACCCATTTTTATTTTCTTTGCTGATTCCTCTCAATGAAATTTGCCATGTTGCACTAAGTTACTTACGGATGTATGCATGTAGTCCGGGAACACTTTGGGGTGAACACCCATCCAAACAAGTAGGGTCAATAGTTCAGTATTTAGGCCGTAACATTTAGAAAGAAAAAAAATCTTTAACCCAACAAGTGCTCTCCGAACCAAGCTAGATAGTCTCCTATCACTAGGCTCATCAACCAACCTGGACTTTGATCTTATTATTCCTACCGGATATCAAAACCATAAGGATTGTTTCCAGCCATGAGTTCTCATATGACATAAGCGCTCTTGGGTGGGCTAGGCCATTCCATCAAATCTTTGAGAAGGTCCACAATCTCTTATTTGATGGTCGGCATGGCGATAGGCTTCGCTTCTACGACTGCCTCCCCAGCCAGCCGTTGCAAACACTGAGCGAGAACGGTAAGGGGCGCACAAACAATGTCGTTGCGCAGGGATGCGATTCGCCAAGCTAAGCTGGGGCAAACAAAGCCGTTCGGCCCTACCGGATTAGAAATGCGAAGGCCTTTCCTTCGAAAGGAAACCAGAAAAAGAAAGAGCTATGCTATTGACCGACCCTTTCGTAGTGACTTCGAATCAATAGGCCTCTCATTTTTTCTCATTTTGTTTGAGGCGGACCGGATAGAGAATGAAATGTAGAAATAGGGGAAGGGTTCCAAACCGTTTTTTGGTTTAAGGGCTGCTCGCCCTACCGAAGTACCTAAGGCTTTCGAAGCGTTTACACCTCCCTATTACACGACCTAAAAAAGGCTTTCAGTAGCACCCTTAGAATCTAAGCCTTTTTTTTGAAGCGCCAGTAGTTGTAGCTGTGGCCACACCAACCCTTTCGTTCTTATCGCTCCGGGTTTCGATCTATATGACCTCCGGGCGGTACGAAGTACACCTCTTCTGTAGAGGCAGGTAGTAACCTAACCTTTAAGAGTCTATTCAAGGGAAGGGGAGAGCCCTCTCTCTTATCTATCAATGGAAAGATCTCCGTGCGTGGCGTGATAAGGAATCCTAGAAAAGATCAATTGAGACTCCCTCCCCGATCCCACGAAGATCTCTACGTACTTGTCCAGTCCAGGACAACTGAGATCTTCCAGTCTGCGTGCGTGGGAGCAGCTCAAACAAAGAAGAGTCTGGTCTGGTCTGAATTCAGGCCCGGCCCGCCCGTCTGCTGCTAGGTTCGGGAATGGCGCCAGGCGAGGGCGCCGCTATGCCCGCTGCTCCGCTGCGACCGACCCCCAGACTATGTAAAAGAATCGAGGCCGGGGGGTCTCGCCCATAGGGTTCCCCCCCGCCTTTGGTGATTGACCAAACAAATAGGCCTAGATCTATGCCCCTTAATGAATCGAATGGTCCTTCGACCTTCATTTGATTCCGACGGCCGGCATAGACCTCATGAGACCCGCCCAGCCCACTATTACTACGAAAAAAGCCCTGCCCTTTTCCTTCGCTACTAGGAGAGTAAGCAACCTCTATTAGCGCCAGGCATTGAGTCTTGATCGTGTCATGTGCAACGTCCATCAATGATGGTTCATTAATGTCCATTGATTTAGACTCCTTCCCCCTTCCCAACTACGAATAAGATCGAGAGGAGCCCGAAAGCCCTGGGCAGATTGGCCGGGTCTTTCCCTGTTGTTCTGTTCCCGTCACGATAAAGGCGCACGGAAGAGGTATGCCCAGCGTGCGGAGGATCCGTTGAGAGTTTTTATTATTTCGGTAGGGAACTGTACGATCTTTTCCCCTATCCTATTGTATTGAATCAATAAAAAAAGAGGTAAGTGCTACGGCCCCTTATTGTTTGATCCAATATTGACCGGGGATGAGCCCCGACTTCCATAGGTCCTTGGTTTGACCTCCCGTAGTGGTCATTGCTTTTAATAAAGTGGAGCGGGGCTAATTTCTCGTACTTTCTCAGTGTGCCCCCCTTTCGTCGAGTGCCCCGCCCGGTTCACTGGGCTGTTGGCCTAACAAGCACTTGCCCGCTGCTCCTGCCGCCCGATTGACAGGCGGAGCGCTCGTTATCCTTACTGTTCTCTCTGCTGGGGCCCTTCTCATTGCTCTAGCCATAAGCTATGGCAGCTCCAGCTCGCAACCACAAGGGCCCACCCTACGAGGCCAGAGCGGGCTCAGCGGTCAGCCTCCATTCGAATTACGTTAGGGGGTCTTTCGCTTTTGCCAGATCTAGAGAGATACTACGAGTCCTCCATCCCAGATTCCATCACCGCGGCCATCTGGTTCACCGGTACTACCAAAAAGTCTCATGCTTACGTTACTGTTATTGATGGTTTTATTATTTTGGACTACGAAGGCCCCGGTCGTTCTTCTGGTTTCCATTCCCATCATCATATTGATGATAAATCTCCTCATGCTCTGCCATAAGAACTTGGAGTCCGTATCATGGTGAAAGTAAGGCTGTGATTCTTGCTCAAAAAATAGACCGAACGCGTTCGAGTAATTGGCTCATCCAACCCGGCCGCATTCATGAGTTGCTCGTTCAACTGTCCCTCGGAGACACGGTCGAGAAGTACCATGCATGGTTGCCCTCCGTCCTTTTTTTCTCTCAGTCCCACCCAGAAAGATACGGCTCAGCCAAAAAAAAGTGAACGCCCCTGCGCGAGCCTTATTTTATTAGTAAGGTAAAGCTTTGGCTCCCTAAAGACTAAAAAAAGAAATAAGAAAAGGGGGAGACTTCTGCAACGGGCTATGCCACCCAAACCAACTAAGGGAAGTTGCATCCATCCCATCGCAAGCACCTACAACATCATGATCACATTGGTTTACCCTTTTTTCTTTGGTAGTTCAACAGACGGTCGCCCCTCCAACAAGAAAAGGTATAAATATAGAAACTTCTCTGCCATTTGAATCGGAGAATTTATGGAGGAAATCGGGTTTTAAATTTCCAGAAACCATACGATTATATAGCCAAAGGGAATACGCCGCGCCTAAAATCATCCCAAGCGCGGCTAATGTGGCTACTAAGCTATTTCTTTGGAAAGCTCTTACTAAGATGAGAAATTCCCCGATAAAGCTGCTAGTACCAGGTGAACTCATATTTGCCAAAGTAAAAGAAAAGAAAATGGTAGAGAGATTCGTCATGGTGCTCACTAAACCTCCGTAATATCTAACAAGTCGAGTCTTATGTCGGTCATATAGAACACCAACACATAGAAAAAGGGCTGAAGAAACCAGTCCATGACTTAACATCGGTGGAATGCTACCTCCAATTCCCTGTATGTTTGATAGAGCCAAAGATCCCCCCACTGATCGGAGTACGCCGATTACCCCCCGAACCATACAAGATAGTTACCACCTATCATATGGCTTTCTAACTTCACTTCTTTTTCTGGTCATTCCGCTCTGTCGATCGATTGTAGTATAAGAGATCTTTAACCCCCCGAAGTTATTTACATAAAGGTTCCTGCTTCCTACCCATAGTTAGCATGTATCTCCCCGGGTCATACTTGAGTATCACATCGTAGACCCCCACCCCAACTCTATCTTTCTTATTGGTGAACCGAAACATAGTGCATAGGTACTCTTTAATGCAGTGGGGACGAGACGACGTGACATACTACGATCACATACAAAAGTGCTGCCTATGAAACCTCTCAACAGCTCCCGTTCTTTTATGAGGTCCTATCGGGATAGGTAGGCCCAAGCCTTTCCTTTCCCCCCGACCGAGCAGTAGTTCCCCGCGGCCGGCCAGTGGCGGCAGAAAATGAACTCGGGCGGGCTCCGTACGGTTCGCATTTTCTTGTGTTGAGAGCTTCTCATTTTCTTATATTATAGAAGCCTGCGTCCACGCCGGGGACGGGTAAAGCCCAGCGAAGCAGCATGGAGCACTGAACAATGGGGGGTGATGCTAATATAACCATGGGTTGAACCACACCATAAGCTGAAGTCCTTCCACAGCGGGGGACGGGCAGCGTCCTCGTTGTCGGGCTGGAACAAGAAAGGGAAGCTAGTCGTTGGAGGGAAGACAAGGCTCGTGGAGTGCGACTCCACAGAAGAGCCTTACTCTATAGGGGCGCTAGCGCGCTACAACTAGAACTTTGAAGCCAGCTGAAAAACGGATACGCGCTACTAGCGCGCAACAGTTTTTAAGCTTTACTGGAGGCTTTATAGAGAGAGGTGAGTAAGGGGCTCGCTTCGCTTTTGTTGCGGAGTTCGCTGCCTTCCCACCCCTGCTTAGTGTTCCACTTGTGATTCTGGATGCAGTGGAGGATTTTTATAAATGCGCCCGAATGTTCCCCATAAGACTCTATTTCTCTTTCCTCCTCGAGAAAGATAAAAAAGAGAATCAATCCTTTCTTCTCTTCTTTCATGTGAGAACGGACCTATCTTGTATCGAAAGGTTTTTCGTGCTATACACCACATTGAGAAAGACCAACTTCCTATGTATCGTACCTTTTTTTTTACCTCGAAAGGGAGATCCTCCTTATGATGCTACGGTCGGCTGTCTGAAGTGCATGCAAGGGGTAAACTCGGATAGGATAGGATTGCTCGTGACGGGCCCTTCGAGTGTCATATTTTGGCCGAGTTTACCGTACCTCCGGCCCTTATATTACGCGACCGTAATATTTTGTTACGTTCCACCGCTATTATGCCAGAGATAAAAGGTTCCACACGAGCTCTCGTTCTGCGGCGTGGTGGTAGGACCGATAGGGGATTGGCTCCGGGTATAGATAGGGTAAAATCTGCAGGGGTCATGCAAATACATAGGCCCCTTCCCCTCTCTTTTGGATGAATGGGGTGGTTTAGAAGGCACTTTCCAATCTACGGTCCCTCGGAGCGAAGGGTTAGGCAGGTAGTATGGGCCCTCTGACTTCCAGCTATGTGCTGTGCGGCTCCCGCGAAGCGAATGAAGGGAAGCTCTCAAGAGCTTTTTCCGCCAGCGGCTTATGTAGTGGTCGGCCTTATAAAGCTCGCTAAGCTTCGCTTCCTCGTCTTGCTTCTGGCAGAGCTTATACTTTGCTTGCTTCTCTCGCGCTTGCTTGCGCACGGGAAGGCAACGAAGTTCAGTTCATGAGACCGCGGCAGAGTGGAGCAGCCGCGAAACTTTTTTTCCTTAGCTGAATCTCGCTGGTGCCACCTAAACGGTAAGTAGGCGGCGGATGTGTGACGTTTGGAGTTGTCGTTCGTGCACCTATCCCCAATAGAAGAATGAGTGATCCGTTCCCCTGTGGATCATGGCCTTACCACTCGGTCCCCGATGGCCAGCAGGGGATTCGGTATAGCAGCTCACGTTCGTTTGCGCTGCGCGTTCCCGCTGGACTGGACGCGTGTTAGCTGTAGGAAGTATGGTTCCGAAAGTGACTTCGGTTCTCCAGTTCAGGCTCAACTCCTCGCTTTACGTTAGCGGACCCACAGGTCGGGCCGCGGCTCTGCGCTCTTTCTTTCTATGTGGGACGATGTCGGGGAGAGAAGGGAATGCATCGAAGCGGCGAACAACAACAACACAACTACATTTTGTCTTTTCCCTCCATGAGATGAGCCCAGTGCATTGGACCGATGGATAAGAGAACTGAGCTGGCCTAAAAAGCGCTTGCCCGCTCTACGTACGATGTAGACTCCATCAGATACATATCGATTTCTTTCTGATGGATCAAGAATATATAGTTGTCTCATCAATAGATAAAAATAGGGGATTTCCCCCTTCTTATTGATAGATTACTTCTCTTTCTATTCCTACTCTTTCGATCTATCAGAACAGATCAGACTATCTATCAATCGATTTGAAAATAGCACATTCATATCACTTTTCGTTCATTTTCGCCACGCTAACATAGCCGCCATAATAAGAAGCAAGCAGGCGAAGCAGCTAGAAGCGCTCGCTTCTAGCCCTTAAATTCTTATTTACGAATGAATTGGGAAAGCCAACAGAAAGATTCGATTCTGACTTCGTGGAGCCGGTGCTGCTGCTGCCTGCGCGTAGGGCCGTTTCCCAATCCCGTCCCGGGGCGCTAAGGGGCTTTTTTTTTTGGAACAGACGGCAGTGTTTTACTGACGCCTCAAATCAAGCTTTTGTTGCGACATGCTATGTTTTCTCCCCCATTGCTAGTAGGTTGATGGGTCGCACGCCCGACACACATGTTTTGGCCTTGTGTGTCCATAACTCAAAATAGGTGACCTAACGGCCACCGCCCGACTAAACATACCAATAGTCACCAGATTCATATGGGCTACTGAGGAGTAAGTAATGATCTTCTTAAGATCGATCTGTCTTGAAGTGGTCAAGGAAGTATATATTATAGCAATCGCGCTTAAAGTATAAATGAAAGAAGTAAAACAAAGTGGCACTTCGGGAAACATGGGTATTGAAAATCTTAAAAACCCGTAGGTTCCTAAATTTAAAGGAATTCCTACCAAGATGACGGATCCTGCCGTAGGTGCCTCTACATGAGCTTCGGGTAACCAAATATGAACAGGTACCATAGGCAGTTTGATGGCGAAAGAGGCGAAAGAAGCAATCCATAGAAAGATTTGGCGTCGCTCACTAAATTCTGTGGTTAAGGGATAATCAGCTCACCGGTGTTGTTCCTTTGTCTTTGCTTAATTTAGAGTCTTTTCATTTGGTGAATTTAACTGATAATAAGCTTCAAGGGTCAACACCTAAATTTGGTGATAATGTAATTGTGGATATGAATCCTGGCAGTAATAGGTTTTGCTTGGATCAACCTGGTGTTGCTTGTGATGAGCGTGTTAATATACTATTATCCATAATTGAAGCTGTTGGTTATCCAATGATTTTTTCTGATAGTTGGGAAGGGAATGATCCTTGTAATGATTGGCTTGGTATTGCATGTGCTGGGAGGGAAATTGTATCTGTTAATTTTTGAAACAGGGGGCTTACTGGTACAATTTCTAGTAATTTTTCTAAGCTTACTTCTCTGACAGCCTTGGCTCTTTCTGGTAATAATCTTTCTGGAAGAATACCGATGGAGCTCACTACATTGGCAAAACTCACTCGGTTAGATGTTTCGAACAATAGGCTCTGTAATCACCATTTTTACCTTGACAGCAGCCCCTTCCACGTTTCAGCTCCACCACAGCGGTACTCCAGCAGTTTTCAGCAACAACAGATGTTCCCTCTCCATCCAATAACTTACAGTAAGCAACCCAGTTGTCCCTCTACACTCCAGTAGCTTCCGGTAACTCCACCTGTGGCCTCGTAAGCATCGTCCACGTCCCAACATCCTCATCAACAAATCAGAAAACAACAACAAATATATATATATATATATATATATATATATATATATATACATATACATATTTTACATGTAAACTGGGGCTATAAAAACCCCAGAACATTATGTAATTTTTACAGAGGAATCAAGAATCAATACAAAGCAAAAACAAATCAGATAGAAAACATCAAAGGTTATTTTTATATTTGATTTTCATTTTATTTTTTTACTTAGTATTTTATTTTATTTTTTTCGAAAAAAAAAATAGTAGGTTAATATAAAAAAAATGGGTTTACCTCGCCGTTGGTTCTTCGTCGGAGTTTAGGTCGTCGACGAAACGCCGGTTGAAGCTTCGGGGCTTGATTTTTTTTTGTTTTGTTTTGTTGTCTCGGTTTGTCCCAAGTCGAGACTTATATTTCCTCAAGTTTTTTTTAGGATCGGGTTTTGTTTGGGGTGGTCGGAAGAGTGAATGGCCACCGATTTACAATGGCCAGCAGCGAGATTTTTATTATTTAGGTACCCGGCCGGGTGTAAAAGAGAAAGGGGGGAGAAGGTTATTTCTCTCGGTTGAGAGAAAAGAAGAGGAAGATAAGAGTGGCTAGGTTAGCCAAACAGGAAAAAAATGATATATATATATATATATATATAACTTAGGTTTTGGGTAAATTACCTTTAAGTCGGTCTAAGTTTTCCGTGTTTTACATGTAGCCACTAGTTTTAGGGTTAAATCAAATTTAAGTCTCCCTATGTTTGTTTCGTCTTGTGTTATGATCACTGAAGAGTTTAATTCAATATTCGGGGTAAATAACGTAAAATTCCTTGTACTTTAAGTGTTTTTTTATTTAAGTCACTAATTAGTGGGTTAATAACCCATAAGCCGTTATAGTTTAGGCTTTTTTTATTTTTTTATTTTGGTCACCGATATTCTTTCATTATTTTATATCGATTTTTGCATGCTAATTTCTATTCTATTTCATTTTAATCATTAATTAATTCTGTTATTATTTTATTTATAAATATGATACCACAGTTTTAATTTTATTTATTTTAGTCACTATTTAGTTATTTTTTTAGTTTTATATGTTTATTTTCAATATATTTAACTATTATTATTATTATTATTATTATTATTATTATTATTATTATTATTATTTAGTCATACAAATATATATATATATAATAAATAATATTTATTTTATTCATTTTCTATTAAATAAATATCCTATTTATAAATTTAATTTTATATAAATTACTTTTAGGAAAAATAATAATATTTTAAATATTTTTTAATTTTTTTATATTAAGGAAATGACTGTCTTAAAGCAACTCCAAGTCTTTTTTGATATTTCTAAATAACTAAATATTCTACTTTTATAAATTATATATATATATTAATTTAATTTTTTTTAATTATTTTTAGAGAAATATTTTATTAATATTTATTTATTTTTTAATATCAAGAAAGGGGCTGTCTTAAAGCACCTAGAAGTCATTTTCAGATATTTATAAATAAATAAATATCTTATTTATATATATATATATATATATATATTAATAGATTTTCTTAAAATTATATTAATAAATTTGAAATAACAGGATTATGAATTAAATATTTTTTAAATTTTTAAATTTTCAATAATAGAGACAATTTATAATTAATGAGTACCAATTTTGAGCGTTGTGGGGGTACTGATCCTTCCCCAAACGTAATCGACCACGAATCCCTTTTTATTATTAAAAAAACGAATTTTTGGTTAAAACGCAAACCAGTTTATCTTTTAACTGATGTTTTCTTAAAACTCTTTTAAAAGATAATTTTTAGGTATTCGACCTACCTGACCCAAAAGGCCGATGGCGACTCCCTAAACATTTTAAAAACCATTTATTCACATCAATTTTCCCGCCAAGTAAAAAATTAGTGCCCGGGCGAAAACCAGTTACGAAAGCTTGGCGACTTCACTGGGGATTGGTAAAGCTTTAAAATCAATTATAAATTGTCTCTATTAATTAGAAATTAAAAATTCATATATTTAATTTATAATTCTTTCCTTTCAAAAATTTTATATATATACTAATTATTTTCATAATATTTTATATATTCTTCTTTATTATTGTTTTTATTTTATTTTTATTTTATTTTCAAGTATTAAATTTCATTATTTATTTGTTTGTTAGAGGTTTGAACATTTCTCCTCACACACAACACGTACATTGCATAACATAAGCTTTATAATCAAGCTTTTCCCTTTTAAATGGGAGTTAAAGCGACATCTTCGTGAGAATTTATTCTCCGTGTCAGACCTAGCAAGTAGCTTTCGGGGTTCATATGCTCTATGTCTTCGTGAGAATTTATTCTCCGTGTCAGGCATAGAGAAATGTGTCCCCTCGAATTGAACTCAATCCGCTTAAGTCTGTGATGGACTAGGATTGAGGGTTTGGCAGCCCAAGGGGGCACCAACAAGGACAGTTCGAGTACCTTTACTTCTAGAACTGAAACCATGCATATAATAAACCATAAAAATTCTCCTGATCTAAGAAAATACTAAAACTCTGTCCGTAGGTGTACACAAAGGAGAAATAAGCTATAACTTTTAATTTATTTTCTTTTCTTTTCTTTTTCCTGAATAAAAGCATGGAACTAGAAAAACATGAGGTTAGGATTTATACCTTGATAGATAGAAAATTTTTTCTTCCTATTAGTTGGTACTAACCATTTTATTTTTTTCTTATTTTTTCCATGCATGTTATTTTGCTCTAACTTGTTTATATTGATTTCTTTTGTTTGCATTGCATGATCATGGCATAACTAAAAGGTGTTGACTTGAAAGACTGTTCATCAAATTAGAAAGAATTCATAAATGGACAAAAAGTTTTATGATCTAACAAAATATGACACAGCCAAGGAAAGACATCCTGAGGAAACTCCGAGGATAGAAGCGAGCTATGCACGCAAAGATCCTGTTATATTGATACCAAAAGTATTACACAAAGATCCTGCCAGGTTGATACCAAAAGCAGTCTACGGTAAAAGCATCAGTTGGGGCATTCAGAATAAAGGAGGTTTTTATGAAGCTCAAGCATGTTATTTGAAGGATCAAAACAAGAAATTGAGCACAGAAGTGGAAACCATGCATGAAGATTTCCAAAAGATCAGTCAAGCCTTTCGAAATGTTGGCCTAGGAAATACCCCAAAAAGAGTGGATAACATGGTTCACCAAATTGAAGAAGAACTGCAACATATATGAAGATCTTATCCAAGAACTTCTTGGACAAAAAAATTCTCTTACAAGGGAAAATGAGCAACTCCGAGAACTGATACAGAAGATGAAAGAGAATATCATGGAAGAAGTTGTAGTCCATACAAGCAATATGACCCATAAGCTGATGGACTAACTTGGCTTTAGAGAAGTTAGGAAGGAAAGTTATCCCCTATATATAAAGTTTTATTGAAGTTAGGACTGAAAGCTATCCCCTGTATGTAAAAGTTTTGTTTGATGCACGGAAACTTTTGTGTTCAATGAAATATGTTCTAAGATGATCACTCTTGAGTAACAGCTTTTCATACATGCATTTGCATTTTGCATCTTTGCATTTTCATTTATACTTTTATGTTTGCTTTTGTATTGCACAATTTGTATTTTTATTGTTACCTTCACATATTTACATTTGCATTTGCATCTTTTCATAATTATATTTTATTTCAAACTATTTTACATGCATTTAATCATGACAACGTGGAATAATTCGTGGAGAATTCCATGACAGAATTTTTAAAATCAAAGTGGAGTTAACTTGGTCTTCCTAAAGAATAATAATAGCCATGAATGAGATTTTAGCAAGGGTTGGTAGAATTGAGAAACTACAAGAGCAATTTATCGAGACACAACAAGAGATGACTGATCAAGTAAAAAATTTCCAGGATGATTCAAAGGAACAACTGACCAAATTGATGGACCTGGTGAATATTGTAATCCATGGAGAGAAACCCTTAGAGGATCCTATTGTGAAAGATTTGAATGGGATTATGAATGATATAACTGATGCAATAGAAAAAAATGACCAAGAACTTGTCAAGAGATGTGGAAATCCAATAAAGCTCCTAGAAAAAGCGAAAGAGATCAAACTGAAGTGAAGTATAGAAGAGGTTCAAAAGCCATTAAAGAAAGCTAAGAAAGGCAAAAATAAAGTGATACCTCTCATTCCAATTCCAATCTCATATTCAGACTTGGTACCTTTTCTCTTTGAAAATGATCTCATAACACCCATTCCTCCTTGAGCTTATTGTTGGCATCCAAGTTGGCAAAATGTCAAAGAATTATGCAA